AAAAGAACCGCTGCTCTCCAGGAATGGTTGTGGAGGTGCCTCCTGCTCTTATGCAGAGTGCTAGCACAAGGCTCAAGTCACCCAGAAGCCCTTAACATTAAGGGGCTTAAGTGATAAACAGACCTGTGAAGAGTCAAGGCTCATGCAGAAGGCAAGATAGGGCAGATAAAAACCTCTGGCTTAATTTAACTCAGCTACTGCTCTGCTCTTTTCAGACACTGTATATTCATACTCAGAGTTATCTGAAAACACACAAGTTTTAATTATGCTTTTTATCCCTCTTTGCCCTCCTGCTTAGACATTCTCTGGGAGCCCTGCTCATGCCAAAACTCAGATCCTTAATCTGGAAAAAAATATTTTTACTGGCTGTAGAAAGATAAAAAACAGAGCCCTCAAAACAGAGACAGTGTTTATGCTTTAGCAAAAGCAAAGAAGCAGGATGGCTGGTGCTCACCTTACGATCATTGTAGAAAGGGTCAAGGTCCTCCAATGGCTCCCCAATGAGCTCTGGAGAAACAGTCCCATAGATATCAGGCAGCTTCTTGCAAGCTTGCAAATCAAACTGAGGCTGAGGTTTCTCTTCTTCGCCCAGCTGCTCTCTGTATTCCTGCTTTGCATTCCTTGCAAGCTTCTCCGCAATTCGTTTCTCAATAGCAGCCAAGGATTCAGGCGTGAACCGGTGGAAGCTGTTAGTACCCGGTGGTAACAAGAAGTCAGCCATCTTTTCATCCTGCTTTGTCTTTACTGGTCTTTACTCCTAGTAGTGGAAACAGCTGAAATAAAAAGTACCAAAAGCTAGTGACAGGAGCAAAGCAAGAAGAACAAAGCCATCGGAATGAAAAATTAACCCAAATAGCTTGTAGGCTACCTATTATCAGGAAACCCTTAATTTATTTTTATGCGGTTAGTAGAACATCAAGGAAAACAAATTATTGAAACTATAATTTCAGTTAGGAATCACTGGTGATCAGAGCTAAAAGGACGTTGTAGATAGACTGTGAAGTACTAAGTTTTTCAGTCACTTGGGATCCTAAATCCAAACTAAGGAGTAACCTAGACTCATACAAGCTCAAGTTTCATTGAAAGCTACAGGTATTTGGATTCCTAACTCATTTTTGAAAATGCAGCTCTGGGAGTGGATGAACAATGTGTCTAAGATTACTGCAGGGCAGATTTAAATCAGCCAATCTCTGGCCACATGATGCAAACTCTAAAAATGCCCCAGCTGTTCTATTCCAAATTTAAAGAGTGAAGGGTCAAGTTCAGATAATTAAATCACATAGAAATTCTTCATAATCTCTGTCTTAGGCTTCTGCAACATAATTTTTATTTTCCTTTGGGAAATACCATCTTCAAGATATCTGTCAAGACTTTCTGAAGCATTTTCTTTTCCTCCACACCCTACAATCTGAAGGATGTTGGGAGCTTAAATGTGCCTGGCAAAGCCCTGGGACCTTCATGAGACCACTCCAAGCTTCTGAGATGCTGAATAGCCACTGCTGCCAGTTCATCACATCTGAAAACCAGGCTCCTTCCATTCAGTACCAGTTTGAACCCCTAACCCAAACCTGTGAGGTCTGACCATCTTGGGTTGATGGTGCTTCACTGCTAACACTTCCAATCCCCACCTGAATGAAAACAAGTGAGAACTGCCACATCTGTTCAACTTACACAAATCAAGCCAAGCGTGAAAAACGCAGCAGAACAAAAAGCCTTCTTGTATCTGCACTAAACAACATGGATAGCTGTGAAAATTAATGTAAAACTACTGTTTGAAAAGGGATGAAGCTTATCCCTGTTCTAGTAGCGTGCACAAATCCATCCAAGTTCACTGAAGCCCTACTGTGCAATTTGATAGTGACTTTAGTGGCATGTTTTTCCAGCAAGAGAAACCCTCACTACGCAACAATTAAAACTCATTTCACAGAAGAAACACAGCCCTTGTTTTTTTACCACTACCAGACCATTCATACTAAATCAGAATATAAGCCAGTGACAAACAAAATAGTAGATTTTGAGGTGGGTTACCCTATCGCATTTGTTGATGTGTGCAGGATACAATTTTTTGTTCAGCCGCAATTGTTGTTTTCTGCTTTCAGATGGTATTTTTCTATTTACAATGGATAGTTCCAGATAGTCTGCTTCTATTAGGCTCTGTGATGACAGCATTTTTGTTAGCAAACAAGACTTTAACTGGACTCTGCATGACAAATAGCATATTTATTGACTCAATTTATTGAGTAAAGTACTCTTTCAAATAACTACTGTTTTTCTTATTCTGACTTCGTTTCAAAATGAATTCATTAAATTGTCATTGAGCACAGCCTATCATACAGGAATGATTTACTGGAGCTTGTACATTATACTCCACATTACTACTTGTTTGAACAAGTAGGGCTAAAATGAATTAGCCTTCCTGGAGTTTGGGTATTCTGACATTCCTCTTTATTGGGATTTATTTTCTTTATTGCTTTCCCCTCTCCCCCCACATCACTTGTCTTATCCCCTTCCTCCTGAAAAACAGGAAATTAGAAGCTTTCCCACAAACTGAGTTTTCTTGTGCTCAATGCTTTGTGACTCAGCACCAGTGCAAGCAAACAGAATTTCACTTTCTATAAATGACATCAGTACAGGTGCCCAGAGAATTCTCAGAGGTTTCTTGTTGTTTCAGTTTTTGTTTTGACACAGTGAAGCCTGTCTCAGTGCTGAAGGGGACAACAAAAATCAGTGGCTGATCAGTACTTCTGGAAGGGCACAGACTAGGTCTCTGAACCAGAGAGGAGATCATTGCAGGCTGTAAGTTGAGGTCTAGGTAATCATGAGCACTGTGAAGACAGTGAAAGGGGAATGATTGTTCACTTTTTGTCATAATACAAGAATGGAGAAATTTCAGATGAAATCACGGAGCAGCAGGTTTGAAACAACTACTGGAGCCACTTTCAACATGGTGCAGAGTTATCCTGTGAAACTTGTTGACTACAAATGGCAAGGATTCACAAGACAAATCCAAGGGCAAAAGATCCATGAACGGTTTTAAACACAAAGATGCTGTCTGACTGAGAAAATCTCTTAGCTGCAGAACCTTGGTGCATCCAAGAAAGACTACATATGTTTGCCCTATTTTTACACTCTTCCTAGGTGACCGGTCTGGAGAAACCCAACATCTGATCTTATGTGCTTTTGTCCTTATGTAGCACTAATGCCAACACAAGACAGCCTATGCTGCCTTGGGCAAGGGCTCAATCTGCCTGCCGACGGTGTGGCTGGCTTGGGCTTGTGCAGATGTGGAATCACACAGAGAACCAGAGTTAATACCCCCATACATCTGCAGGTGCTCGAGATCTGAATTGCACCAACTACCTGCTTCCAGTGTTTCGGAGCACGAGCTGCGTCACTGCCTCCAACCTATGCAGACATTCCCTTTGCTGGAAAACTGGTGGTAGCCACCTTTGCACCACCGTCTCCATATAGCTGAACTGGAGGCATGGCTATATAGCATGAGGGACACCAAGTACTTTACTGATATGATAAGAGAATATGTGGAATGTCTCTACTGAATGCCGCAGTTTTCACGGGTGTTGCTTGATCACGAAAACTGAATCTTCACTAGAATATTCAGCATCCTTCTCAGACTTCCTCAAAGACTGCTGAAAGAAGCCATTCTGGCAACAGAACTAGTCACAATTTTTAAAAAAAGCCAAAAAAAAAAAAAAAAAGGATAGAGAATGGTGAAGAAAATAAAATAGCCAGAAAAACCTAACCAAAATGAGAAGTTTAATTTTTTTTTTTTTTAAAGGGAATTATTTTTGCTTAAAGCTCTCTCTTATTAGAAAATTGAATCAACTTCAAACTGGTCAAAACCAGATCTTTTCAATTGTATCTGCAAATTCCTGAAAGATAGCTGCCTAGGAACAACAGGAAAACTCTACACAAACTTCATTAGAGCTCTTGCTACTCTTCTATATATTTTTCCTTAAAAAAATTACGTTTTCCAGCATCCTCACAACTGAAAAATCTTGACATGTTTTGTCTTCATACTGTATATAAGTTAAAGTTCCAAGTTTTAATATAAATATTTAGCCTAGTTCTTTTCCCATTTCATATGCTTTCAGGAAATGGACAAGATAATTTCACGGGTCCTTTCTATGCCTAATTTCTTTTAATCTATGAATTGCAAACATTTCTACAAATAGCCACGGTTAGCCCAGATGTTTCTTAAAAGGGTAAGAAAGCACCACAACTTAAAAAGGGAAATCATCAATGACTGAATCAAAGAGCTGCAATGCCATTTCTTAAGAGATAATAGCTGTTGTGACTCACGTTTTTACAATACGAGCCTGGATTTTTCCATTCCTCTCAGGCATATTTTTGAAGTACAAGGCTTCAAACACGTTGTTTCTGTGATATCACCATGCACAGAATGAACATTTCCCTCCTGCTTTGTCTTTGTTAAATTCAGTTAACATCGGTTCTTGCTGATAAAAATGTCCTGGTTATGAAACAAAATGTGCATATGGAAATAAAGCCCCAAGATGCATGTTCTCTATGGCATGGCAAGAAGTGAGAACAGTACAAACAAATAAGATGTTGCCAGCACCTGTATTTACTCAGAAAGATAAATGCTGTTTTCCATTACAGGTTTAGCCTTACTTTCATAGGCTTCAGCCACCCCAGCTCAAAAGACCTTTCAGGTTCTCAGAACATGAGTTGCATGCCCTACAAGCCTTTCCCCGACTCCCTGTGGATTGGGTGACCATCACCCAAAAGGCCACTTTGGGCAATAGGTTGCCTGCAGGGGTGTAAATAGAGGGAAAGTGGGTGCTGCTCACCTCCAGCTAGCTGCCCTCCTGCTCTTGCATGGGCTTTGTGGACTCAGACCACCACCCTAGCACCTACCAGCCCCCTATCAAGGCCCAAGATCCTGACGTGAGCCAGCAGGGAGGTCCCATCCTCCAGAAGTAACAGGGGAAGCAGAGGCTGAGGTCTTTGCTGTGCACTACACCTGGTTGGACACTGGCTTCAGAGAAGTCACGGCTTATTGCACCTCCATCTCCTGCTTGCACGATGGCATAGGATTGATTGCCTGGCATGGTATCAAGGACATGCATGCATATATTTCAGACACTTGGCAATGATAATAAAGGAGCCAAACTTGAAGATCAACAATGTGAAAGTGGCGCTCACAGGCTAAAGGTTAGATACCATCAGACATGCTCGTCTCAAGTAGGATTGCATGCATTTAACCCTACTGATTTCTGTGATGCTGCTCAAGAAGCTGCTATTGACCATGGGTTGGGGGGATGGATGGTAGCCTGTGGCAACAGGTATGTTTCCACTGAGATTCTGCAAGACCTAAAGCTTACAAAATAACAATCAGGAGTCCTAAATTCTCCTTTTGTTTAAGGAATGTTTATGACTAAATATAGACTTTGCATTCCTAACTGTTGTGGTAAGAAAAACAGTCATGAGGATGCATTTCTTTTAAATGTTTGAGACTACATGGGGTACAGTCATCTTTTTTCCCCTCCTCCTTTCCATATAATCACTTTGGCATTTTCCTTTGACCTGCAGAGCACTGCAAAACATAAGAATCACAGGCTAGGGAAATAAAAAACAATACAATGACACATCTAATTTAATGTCACTGGCCTAGATTCACAAATTCTTATGCATAAATTTACACATACACACAAACATTTTATCATATTTAAAAAGACTACG